TTTTGTAAGTTTTTTGATACAACTAATTCAATACAAAAGAATAAATTAGATTCAAACATACAAATTTTATTTATAAAATAATTTTTTAACAACTTAATTTTAACAACTGAAAAAAGTTTAGAATTGTAAAGAATATTTTACTGAATAAAATAAGATATTTATAAAAATTGCGATCTTTGTCTAAGCTGAAAGAAAAAAGTCAAAATGTTAAAAAAACTAATTACACGATGCTATAAAAATTTTTTTTTTAAATATACTTCTTATGAAACCTATTGGAGGTTGTAGGTTACAAAAAACTAAGAAGAATGGTGTATATAAAATTCTCCAAACACCCCTAAATTTTCATTTTAGAGCCAGAAAACCATTTTTACGTATGTTTATGCATAAAAACCTTTGTAACTTTCTTATTTCTGCACCGATTTCAAATTTTTTTTTCATTTTAAAGCTGAGAAACAGAGCTTCTTAGCCCATATTCGATATTTTTGTTTAAATTAATATTTATATGAGAAAAATTACAAAAATGTTCAGAAGTTGTCATTTTTCTCACAATTTTTCAACTTTAACTTATGTTTTCATCGTTAATTTTAATTTAAACATTTTTTCACTTCTAGCGCTATTAAAGCGTATTAAATTCTGCATCCAACGAGCCCTATTTGAATAGATTTTGTAAAAAATTAACTGAATTATTGTAGTTTTCTCTTTACAGGTCTAGTAGCTGATTCAAGAACATTATAGTTTTCTTTTCTTTTTCATTCTTAATTGTTTATGTATAGTATTTGTTAAGTTCTGACAGTTTTTATTCCATGTTGGTCATGCTAACAATAAGTTTTTTCAACAAATATTAATTTTACAAATGAACTGTAAACGAACACGATTGGATAAAAATACTCCAAGTTATGACGGTTTTACTAATTTTTATTTTTTATTATTTTATTTTTTTTAATTATCTTTTTGTACATGTTCATTTATGTCTTCGTTTAATAAAAATGAAAAACCTTATAGACTGCGCAGTAGTTTTCTTACAACTTTACAGCTGTGCAATAATTCTTAGCATACATAAGTAAAGAGTTTTAATGGTTCTAAATTAATAAAATTTCAAATTTTTTTTAAAAAAAGTTTTTTTTAAATGAGATTGTACGAGGACATGAACGGTTTAATGTGTGAGTACATGTACATGAACCTGCATAAGAATATGTAGAAGAACATGTACATTTTCTTGTATACTAATATTAAATGTTTTTTCTTGTACAAGACCTGTAAAGAGAAAAACTACAATAATTCAGTTAATTTTTTACAAAATCTATTCAAATAAGGCTCGTTGGATGCAGTATTTAATACGCTTTAATAGCGCTAGAAGAGAAAAAATGTTTAAATTAAAATTAACGATGAAAACATCAGTTAAAGTTGAAAAATTGCGAGAAAAATGACAACTTCTGAACATTTTTGTAATTTTTCTCATATAAATATTAATTTAAACAAAAATATCGAATATGGGCTAAGAAGCTCTGTTTCTCAGCTTCAAAATGAAAAAAAAAATTGAAATCGGTGCAGAAATAAGAAAGTTACAAAGGTTTTTATGCATAAACATACGTAAAAATGGTTTTCTGGCTCTAAAATGAAAATTTAGGGGTGTTTGGAGAATTTTATATACACCATTCTTCTTAGTTTTTTGTGACCTACAACCTCCAATAGGTTTCATAAGAAGTATATTTAAAAAAAATTTTTTGTAGCACCGTGTTATTTAAGAAAAGATTTTAGGTAACTCAATATAATTTTTTTCGAAAAGCGTATAATAAGTAGATCGTCTAAAATTGTTCAAAATTAATTTTTATTAAATTTTTCTTTACAATAAAAATCATTTTTCAGTTTTTAGATTATATTAGAGTCTCCATTCTCTTTAACAAGTTAAAATTGTTATTCAAGAAGAAAAAAATTACTACTCTATTAATATTTTTATATTATGATTTGAGTTTGAATACAACGTATTAATTTTTGATATTTGAAAATTTCGATTCTAAGAAGCTAATAAAAATAAAAAAAGGTGTTAGGTTTCGTTAGCATATATATTTTTTTATTATATGTACTAATAGAAAGATATAATAATTTACATTAGTTACAAATTATTATTTCCATTAGAATGTTATAAAATACGCAATTAATATGTCAACTGTAGAGAATTTTTTTTTTATTTTAAAATGACAAAAATTTATTTTATATTAATTTTTTCTATTACTATTATTATTTTAAAGTGTGGGAAATGAGTTTTATTGTAATCTAAACAATTGATCGGTAAAAAAATTTTCTGAGGTGACAGAGATGAATCACTTTACATTTTCAAAGAACTATTACATAATTTATAATTACATTTCTATAAAAGTCAAGTATTTTTTAAATCACTATTGTTATATTATACACTGCGTGTAAAGAAATATTTTTTAACAAAAAAAACATATATATCGCATAATAGGACAGAGTGAAAATAATAAAATTATAATTGAATTGTTTGTGACAAATATAGTACAAGATGTGTGGCTTTAAAATTGTACAAACTTTCGTCTAAAAACTATTTTGTAAAAATATCAATTTTCGGTTCTCATAAAGATTTTTATTTAAAAGAAATTGAATTTATTTTCACCTAAATTATATTACTTTAATATCTCATTATTAAATTATAGTAAATAAATAATACAAATAATACTATTATTATATTATATTATTTCATAACAATTTTATTCTGTTAACTGAAACATTATTATTGTTATATTCTGAAATAATTCTTCATTCTTTAAAAAGGGGAATTATAATCATGTTAACAAACATAAATTTTTTTATATTCAAAACAATAGTTAATGATTTTTTTTCCATCCTGTTTGTAAAATGTCAATCAACGTTTAATTACATGAGAAATAAAGCCAAGTTGATTTATTGTGATGTCACTAAATAAAATAAAGATAAAAATAATAAATAATTATAACTTTTCTTTTCTATCTGTATTCCTAATTTTTTCTGTTCAACTGCAATCTTCAAAATATTCTTTTGCAAACCTCAGGATATATCTGTTTTACATTAGAATATACCCAAAAAAGTAAATATGAGAAATTTTTCATTTTGGAATTTTAACTTCAAATGAAAAATATGAGCTTCATCCAGTAAAATTTGTTTATTACTAATTTCATTTTTAAATTGTCTAAAAACATATCTTGTAAATGAACGAACAATATTGAGGTTTTGGACGTTTATATATAGGGGAAGTATAGTTAGTTTAGATTAAGGCTTTCATTAAATTAATGTAATAATTAGTTTTTAGATGGAAGTAAATCAAACGGCTAATTGATATTATTGATTAAACACAGTGATACGGATTCCTGAAACTAATATAATTATAATTATATCCAATAACCACAATCAATTATCTACCATTATAGCAGGTACATTCCTATTTGCCAATCGGATAATAAAAGAAAATGATTATTTAATGATTAAATATATGCACATGAGATAACAGATTCTTTGTTTCATATCTTTTTTGTCCTATTTCTTTTAAAACTAATAAATATATTAAATAGTGCTAATTTGGATTAAAATTTTTTATAATTCAGAAAATAATTATCATAAGCCCTTACACACGCCGTAACAAGACTGTAATTGAATAGAATTAAAAATATTAATTTCACAATTTTATTGAATATCAGGTATTTAAAATTTTTTTCATTCCAGCCTTTTTACCAGTTAGTCACAATAATATAACATTAATAAAACTGCGATATATATTTTTCAAAACTCCCGGCAAGAAGGCTGGAATTAAAAAGTATTAAAAAAATCAATTCCATTTAATACCTAATTTTTTTGTTATTTCGTAAGTTTATGTAAGGAATAGACAGCAGCAAACTTGAATCCCTTTTAATTCCGTTTTCGTGAAGCGTGCAATATGAAATAGAATATATAAATAGAATATATTTGAATGAATAAAAAACGTTTTATTAATAATAATTTATTTATTGAAAAAAAATCAGAATTATTTTTTTTACTAACAATCTACACTATTCCCATAAAAAAGTGAAGGCGATTATTTTATATAACCTAAAAAAATGTTGAGACTATAATTATGTTCAATTTTTGATGCTTCACGTTTAAATTTATTAAACTTTTTACAAACATATTCAGTGTAAATTATTTATTATTTTCACATTGAACAGAAAAAACACAACAAATTTATTCACTTTTACTTCTAAATAAAATGATGAGCGAATTATTTTCGATGCACAAAGAAATATGTCTAATTGTCATTATAATAGAAAACACACTTACCGACTTTTACGTAATGCAAAACGGATTTTAGAATTAAGTGGAATTCATTTCGTTGGCCATCTATCTTATTTTGATGACTTCGAAAAAGTGGAAAAATTAGATATTAAATGGAATTTAAATTTTTCAATTTCGTAATATGATATAACTTTAATTCTTTTGTATATATAAAATATCGAATTAATCCAAATTTTTATATCAATTTCATTCTTTTAAACTAGGTAGTGTGTTCATAAAAATTCTTTTTTTGTGCAATTGTTTTTAATCCCCAACGAGGTATCAGAAGAATAAAATCACTATTCCTTTCCATGACAGAAGAAATTGAAACATAACCATATATAATCTTGATTAAAATTGAAGTAAATATTTTATTATAATTATTAAAGAAACTAAAAAAACGTTTTGAAATACAAACAAAATCTGTTTTTTGTGATGAGTTTCGTCGTTGAAAATATTATTTTAATATCTGTTGACGGCGTTTAAAAGTTTATTTGGTTCAATCAAATTCTTTTTTAAATCAAAAAATTTATTAAAATACCCAAAAATTTGTGTCAATACAAAAAAAATAGTATATTTGATTCAAACAAAACTTTTCTCTGAAAGTATGTGTAAATTCATGTAAATTTAGTTAATGCGGTGACGTTTCTCTGTTGGGTATAAGCATATAGAGTCCTCAAGTGAAAGGTTCAAGAATATTCTGAGTTTTTGTTTGAAAATTAATTTCTTTAATCGCAGCTAAGTTTGCAACTCATGCTGGGTGTGCAAGATAAATTTAATCTGCTCGAAACAAATTTTTTTTTATGTTCTTATTGCATATTTAATATTCAAATCAAGTAATCACGAATACAATTGTATTTATAAAACCTTCTTTAATTCATAATATATAAAAGTTGCCGGTCTCTTCTTATCTCAGTTTGAATCTAGTAGCACACGAAACAACATGAATCATCAAATACGTTTCAAGAGTTTATTTTTCATCCTGTATTTCGCCTTTCCTGGTAAGATCATAAATAAACAAATATTATTTTAAACATTATTGTAGTGAAATAATTTGTAGAAAAAGGATATTATTAATATTATTACAGGGTGGCCGTTTTTAGGGTTGTGCATAGGGGATTCTGCAAGTAAGGAATTTGCATTTCAAGGTCATTTCAAATTTAACTTTCTGTACTCGGTTGCACGATTATTTTAAAAAATATAATAGTCTTTTTTATTATTTAAGGGTTTATTTTGTTTGAAAGTTACTTACTTAAATATTCAAATCACGGTTTTTATATTTTTACACAATAAATAATTTCTGAAAATATACTTTCACCTGTTCACTATTCAACACTGTTAAAAATGTTCGCAAATTTATTACACTTTTAATATACTAAAGTATATAAAATTTAAGAAAATGATGTACTTTAAATTTTAATTATAACTATTGTAAAACAAATATTAATTTGTAAATTTATTTTGGACTTTATTTTGCGGTCCAAGTGATAGAAATTGTTGAATAGAATCTTTAGTTGTTTTTAGGGTCCTTGATTTAAAATATTGAAACTGGATGTTTTTTTATTTATACGTTTTGACCCTCTTCAGTAATTTACTTTTTTTGTAAAGTACAAAGCTTGTGTCAACATAGAATTTAGATTTTCTGCTTCAATTTTATCAAATTAAAAAATTATTCTGATATAAATATTCAGAAAATTGACCTTTTAAAACAATAATTTTAAATATACCATGCATAAACAATGAATATTAAAATAATTCATTAGTTTTCGACACGAATTGATAATGAAAAATAAGTAAACATAACCTCCCTGGCGGATCTCGAATTCGGAATGTACGCTGAATTCGTTGTACATTCGTTACACATTGGTTAAACATTTAGTTGGAGTGAAAATTGTGTAGAAACTGAGTGGAAACTGTGGAAAAGTGTAATTGAATTGAATAATAAAAGTATTTAGTGATAGATTTGTGCTGTATTTGTGATAAATTAACGTGTTATTATTAAATAAATAAAGTTTAAAGTGTAAAATGTTCGCGTTAGTGAGTTTTACAGGCTAGGGAATTTTCTAGTGACATCCAAATTGATAGTCGATAAAGAAGTTGAGCCGCCGACTTTGCACGGTAGGTGGCAGCATTCATACTTTCTCCTTTTTAAAAATTCTCTTTTTCAATTGTAAATAGAAAAATTAATTAATTAATAAGTTATATAGTTTCTATGTTGTCATTTTTTTTAACAATTGAATTTTTGAAGATTGTTTAATGAGATAAATTAAACTTGTATAATCGATGCAAATTGTTGTTTTTAAAATACTTTTAAATAAATCTTTTCTTTTAATTACATTTATATTAAAAATAAATAATAATAAAATAAAGAAAGATAAAAAAGTTTTCTTTATTAAAATTATGATTAAATTAATTTAATTGAATTTAATTAAAAAACAACAATTTGCATCGATTATACAAGTTTAATTTATCTCATTAAACAATCTTCAAAAATTCAATTGTTAAAAAAATGACAACATAGAAACTATATAACTTATTAATTAATTTTTCTATTTACAATTGAAAAAGAGAATTTTTAAAAAGGAGAAAGTATGAATGCTGCCACCTACCGTGCAAAGTCGTCGGCTCAACTTCTTTATCGACTATCAATTTACGCGAACATTTTACACTTTAAACTTTATTTATTTAATAATAACACGTTAATTTATAACAAATACAGCACAAATCTATCACTAAATACTTTTATTATTCAATTCAATTACACTTTTCCACAGTTTCCACTCAGTTTCTACACAATTTTCACTCCAACTAAATGTTTAACCAATGTGTAACGAATGTACAACGAATTCAGCGTACATTCCGATTTCGAGATCCGCCAGGGTATATATTAGAATATTAATTGTTTATATATTGTTATATAAAAATAAAATAAAATGAACAAAAAAATATTTACAATATTGCCATCGTTAATTTTATCTATTATTTCATCTGGGTTTTCTCAAATTCCCGAAGATTTAAAACAAAAAGTGATTATATTTACATTATTTGGATCAACCAAGGAATAGCTGGTTATGTATTCTTTCCATAATATATGATATGTTTCGCGCGTAGAACTTTTTCTTCTTCGGTAAAATTTCTACACAAAGATGTAGAATTACTGAAACGACATATATCAGCTATGCTGATCATTTTCTTTTTCCGTTATCAAAATTTTTTTTTAAATTTACTGTGACTTCAAATGTGTTTGCCACAGACTGACCCCATTGTCGACGGTCATATTGTTTTGTGACGTCGTGATTTCAGATCCCTACAACAAACTCCACATTGTACGTGATTCTCAAACAAATGCTGTGATATTCTGAGTAACGCTGCTGATACTCGTCAGGATGTCCTTAGTTTCGTTTTCTTCACAACTCTTTATAATTTGTTTGTAATGCTTTGTAAAACTCTTTACCAAAATTTTTGCATAAATGATTTTGATCAGCGAATTTGTAAAACGTTTCCTCAATCCCTTTACGGATGATCGCAATCATTGAGCTGTCCTCGTCACCAATTAAAACCTTGACTTTAACACAAGTTTCTTTTAAAATTGAATTATTATTTACTAAGTTAGCCCTCAAGTCAGATTCCATCGCCTGGGCACTCCCGTCGAAATTTTGACGGCAATCGTGATCCTCTTTCTTTCGCTTTATTGCGCGTCCAGAAATCTAATATTTTTTGGCTTAAAAAACTTATTACACAACCGCCCAGTGTGCCCATTGTTCTAGAACAAATATGTAACAATTTGATAACAAAATAAATTTTTTTAAAATTTTAATTCTATAACAATTCTGTAACCGATCTGTAACAATATTCTAGAATTACAGAACTTTTTTTTGTATCAGTTTTAATAAAAGTAAAATTATGATTTGTAATTTGTAGTTTATTTGAGTAAAATTTCCCTAACTTAAAAAAGTGACCGTGTCCAAATAGCACTGTATGTCACATAAATATCATTGGAATATTTTTTTAAATATTTCTGTGATATTATAGTGGAGACCAAAATGTCCGCTTCATGATGATATCTCAGTAATATTGGGAGAATATTTCAGTGATATTATGGGAATATTTAATGAAAATTATTTTTATAAATTGGAAAATAAAATAATAATGATAAAAATAAAATAGTGTATAAATATTTTTTCTCAATTTTCATAATAATGAAGAAAAACTATTTCGTTGAAAAATTCCCTCAGTATTAGAGAAATATTCCCTCAATATCATAGGAATGTTTACAAAAAACTCTAGTAACACCACATTTATAAAACATCTGTTCGTTACATATTTGTTTCAGAACAGATAGAGAACAAATCTAAAATACAGTTATAGATCTATTATGTTACATTTTTGTAACACTGTTCTTGAACGCTGCAGTAACAACATTACTTAAAAATTCTAGAACTAATTAAGCACAAATGTTCTAGAACAAATGTTACATCTTCCTTATAGAACAGAGGCTAGAACAACTGTTGCAGAACAGGTCTAGAACACAGTTCCAGAACTGTTCTATAACAAAATTGTAACACTTGTTCTAGAACAAATTACACTTTTTGTTCTAGAACAGTTACATAACGTGCACACTGGGCGTATATCTATTTAAACTATTATAACTTCTTCCGTTTCTGCGCTTACTCCACCCCATACCATATGATATTGATAATATTTCCCAAAGTCGAGTCAAATTCTTTTGGCAACAACAATTGACGGGTCGCATACAATAACAACCCCTACTCTCGGGCGGTCGTTTTCAAGCGTGTCAGGCCAGTAAAAAATTTTAAATTTTTAAACTTAAAATTTTAATTTTTATAATGCATTACCTTATAGAAAATAATAAAACGCAACTTTTTTCCTAATAAATTTTTTTTCTAAGTCTAATATTTTTCTTAATAAATGAAAAAAACTAGAAAAATTTTCCTTTCAAATTTAATTAATTTTTAAAACATAAATGATCGTCTTGCAAATTGAGAGAGTTAGATTATCAGGTTTTCCTAGTTTCAATACCAAGAAGTCTGCAAGAAATTTTAAAATTGTAAGAACTTCTCGTGAGAAATTTGTTTATTTATTTATTTTTATTTTCTATAAGATAATGAATTATAAAAATTAAAATTTTAAGTTTAAAAATTTGACATTTTTTGACCAAACTAACACGCTTGAAAACGAGCGCCCGAGCGTAGGGGTTGTTATTGTACGTGGCCCCTCAATTAAACTTACAAGTTTTTTTTAATCAACAGCACAATAATCAGCAGGAAATAGTGAATTTTTTCATTTATAACTGCGATTTAATTACGACTAAATCATTACTAACATAAAGTTGTTTGTCCCAGTGAACGCCTCAACGATTCAAAACATTCTGACAAAAGGAAGAAACTTGTGGGGGAGGGAATTTTCTTATGTTGTTTCAATACGTAAAAATGGAATATATAATTGTGGCGGAGCTATTATAGATGAGTGGACAATTTTAACTGCAGCCCACTGTGTTGATAGAAGTATAAAGGCAAATGTAATTAGGCAATTAACTGTCGTAACTGGAACAGATCAGATGTATCAGGGTGGAACGATTCATAAAGTTTGCCGAGGTACATTCTACCCTGGATACGAACGCGATAAAGTTGGTTCTAAGCCAGATGACATTGCAGTAATCACGGTAATCAGTTCTTAAATACTATAAAAATTAATATCGAAAATGTTTTTAATTTAATTTTTAAAAAATTTACAAAAGTTCTTTCTTATCAGTTTAAAATCTTATTTCAGTTATGTAAGCCGATAATTTTCAATAAGTACCAAAATAAAATTAATTTGCCCAGTTCGGACTTCATTGACAATACAACAGCTGTGGTTGCAGGATGGGGGTATGAAAATTACGAAGAAAAAGAATTGAGTTGTTCTATTCAAAAATTTACTCCAAAAATTGTGCACAGTGATTATTGCAGGCCTTACGGGTATTACAAACTGAATAAAGGACATTTATGCGCCATTCATAAAGCTACACAAGGTCCATGTAGAGTAAGTTAGTAAATAATAATATATTTTTTCAGTTAGCATACCGTTAGATACGGATGTGGTTTGTGTTAGATTAGATTGGTCTGAAACTATTTTGTTAATATAATTATTTGTGGAACATTGGTAAGATTTGTGAAGAGCCTCTTTGGGTTGATTCACTATCTTGGGTGCGTTTAGATCAGACTCCTAGAATGTTTCAATGATTTCAGTATTAAAGAGTTGATTTGAAGTTAAATTTTATTTCTGTTGTATAAGTCTGTTTGTTTATTTCTTAAATTAAAGTTCCACTTCAAATAAAACACCAGCAGGGGTGTTCTCTGAACCTTTCATGTATTCAAATTCATAGTCATACTGTTCTATTCTGAGCGTTTCATGGACAGTGAAAATTTCAAATATTTTCGCAGCAAGTATTGCCAAAAATTTGAACGTACAATTTTTTTTATTTAAATATCATCGAATTTAATAAATATTATATTTTTATGTAGCGTATCATTATTATTCTCCAAAAATCTGTACTTTAGGATGATGCAAACAAATTATCTTAAAAATTTAATCACACAGCATTGAATCGACTTGAAACATTTGGTTCGTTAAGCTCAAATTGACTAGAAAGTTCTGTATTATCAGATACTTTATATTTTTAAATTTACTTCGAAATTTAGTTAGGGTAAATGAGGACAAGTGGTTTTGAAGCTTAATTTACAGTTTTAAAATTAAGTTCAACGTCAATATTTTAACCTCAGATCACCTACAACATGTTCTGAATATTGCCAAGCTTTTATCTTGACAATTGGCAGCAAGATAATTCAAGTTATCGCTCAATGCATAAAAACTTGAAAATCAAAGTCAAACAGTTTCAGTATTTTGTCTCGCATTTCAAAGAAAACAGACTTAAAAATCATGCAAAATTTTTTTCTTATTCCTTATGACTCCTATAACATAAATTCACTTAAATTGTTGATTTCTGTCAATTTGGTTAATAATAACAAGTTGTCTTTATTTACCCTGAGTTTTCAAATTTTTTGGGTAAACGGGGACAGCTTGTTATTAATAACCAAATTGACAAAAATCAAAAATTCAAGTGAATTTATATTATGGGAGTCATAAGGAAAAAGAAAAAATTTTGGTATGATTTTTAAGTTTGTATACAGTAATATACTTAACCCATATGGAACCGAACAAACTGTTCGACTAGTCAAACACTAGTTTTCACATTGCAAATAAAATATTAGAATATCATTCATTATTATACAACTACATTTTTAACATCGACGAGTAGTTTACTTTCAAATTCTTAAAGAACCAAAATTAATAAACGATTACAATAATTATACCACTTACATTTGTAAGTGCGTCTGGAATTGTAGTGTTCGACTAGTCGAACAGCTGTCCGATACGGGTAGAAACTTTTTTTTTAAACCTTTCTTTGAAATTGTGCTGTCCCCATTTAACCCAAATTTTATGAAATTTTCTAAATTTTAGGGTAAAAGGGGACAGTCAGTTTCATGAGTTCAAAGCTTATCTAAATTTTTTTCTGCTGTATAAAATTAATCCTGGGAATGTAAATAAGGACTTAAAAAAAATAAACCCGCAAATATTACCTTTTAAAGGAAGAAACTTACGTAATTTATGAAAAAAGGGATTTTGTCCCCATTTACCCCAACTGACCTTATATTGCTTAAAATGTTTTAATAATTATTATCAAGCTTTTGACCTCTAAATACATAACATAATTTTATGTTTTAGGGTATAAGTGGAAGTCCATTAGTTGTAAAAAGAGAAATAATAGGCATAGTTTCCTGGGGTCCTCCACGTTGCAGTACAGGAGATCCAGAAGTTTACACAAATGTTTTTCAATATTTAGATTTTATCACACTTGTTAAAAATAATTTAGTTTTTTATTAAGTAATGTGTTCTAAGTTAAAAATTTTAGATATGTAATTTTCTTAGGAATGAAACTATTTATATGTTCCTGAAATAAACATAAATCGTGTATGACAATTACAAATACCAAAAATTAAAGGCTTTCTTTTTAGTAATTTGATGTAAATAAGTTGAGTTATTAATTTTTTAAATTTAGTAGTTTTCTGCAGCATCTTAGGCTACGCAGTAAAGAAAGAGTGTCCATAAGGCCGTTTTTGAACACAGAGTAAAATCGATTATCATTATGAAGAATGTCATCTCTTTACTATACCTGACAATCCCTCAAAATCGTTTTTCGATTTGCGAAGTACTATTTTAAAAAAATACATACGCGATATTGTTTTCGCCAATTTTTCTGAATAGTCTGAAAATGTAAAACTCTTATTTTCGCATATTTTCTTCAATATATGTATGTGTGCAAAGTTTTTGGAAAATTATGGTAACCTGAGTTCTTCAGTAACTCAATAAAATTACTATTATTCGTTGAGATTTACAAAATCCTGTGTATTTTTTAATTATTTAAATTAAGTTATTTTGAATACTACTTGACAAATCAAAAAACCCTTTTGTGGGAATGTCAGACATACTACAGAGATTAAATTTTTCATAATAATAATAATCGATTATATGCTTGGGCGCAAAAAACGGTCTTATTTTGACACTCATCCTATTATTCATCTTTTAACCGCGTAGGTTTTAAAACATGTATAAAAATATACATCATTTTATATAAGAAAAATGTTGTTCAATTAATTTAATAATATTCTTTAATATTTGTTAGTTTTAATATAAGTTTGACGTAAGGTGTTAGAAAGCTTACTTGAAACGTAACATCAAAATCACTGATTAAAATCACCACAATCTTAACCTTAGCTTATACCAGAACTTTTTTAACCTCGTGGAAAAATGTATATTTGAATTGTAAATAACGTATAAGATGTTAATCAAGGAAAACGCGTTGTGAAAGATTTAGTTGGAGTGTATAAAGATTCAGGAAGAAATGTTACAACCGACAACTTCTTCACAAGACTTCCACTGCTATGGAACTTTTCCGTGGGGCATGTCGATCGTGGGCACAATAAAAAAAGGCAGGGTTGCACAGTTACGCGTAACTCAGGGTTTTTTACATTCGTAAAATACGTATAATACTCCTCACCATAAAAAAATGCATTGTATTTGAAAAATTTAAGGTAATTTACATATGTAATATACGTAAAAAACTCTATGTTATTTACCTGAGGTAAATTACATACGCAACCCTTATAAAAGGTTTGTTTGTCCTAATGGCTTTTTAATAATATTAAGTCTTTATTTTTAGGGGTAGTTTACCCCCTTAAAATTTTTTTTATTAAAAACGCCAAGACATGCAAAATTTAATTTTGATCTTGTGGTTAACATATATTTTTTTCGTGCGAATTAATAAATATTTGTATGGTTTAATTCAATTTTTAAATTTTCCTGGGGGTGGTTTACCCTCTAAACATTTTCCGATTGGTGTAGAAAAGTTATATTTTTTATTTCTTATTAAAAGGAAACTTTTTCAATTGGTTTTAGTCCAAAAAAATATGTCCTATATATGAACCAGTAAAATTGACACTCAACATCCCAATCTTCAAGGGGTTGTTTCACCCCTTATATTCCAGACTGACCACAACTGTGAGAGAAAAAATTTTTAACATCTGGTGGCGAAAGTGTGGAACTATGATGATGATGATCTACATATATATTAAAATTCCCTATGTCAAATCCATTGTCAATCCCCAAGAGAAATCCTTTACCATTTTTTTGAAAAATTTTCCCATATCAATCCTCAAGAGAAATCCTTTATCTTTTTTTTTAAATTTTCCCATATCAAATCCTATGTCAAATCCTTTTTCAATTATTTGGTATATTTTAACCATATCAAACCTCAAGTTCGACATGATAAAGGATTTCATTTGGGGATTGACGTGGGAAAATTTAAAAAAAAGTGATAAAAGATTTCACTTGGGAATTGACATGGGATTTGACACTGGAAAATTTTTAAATAAATGATAAAGGATTTCACTTGGTGATTGATATGGGAAAATTATATTAAATAATCAAAAAAGTTTTTGACATGGGGTTTGATTTGGAAAATTTATCAAAAAAATGATAAAGGATTTGACTTGGGGATTAATATGGGAAAGTCATACTAAGTAATTTAAAAAGGATTTGATGTGGGATTTGACATGGGAGATTTCAATATAGATGTAGATTATCATCATAGTTCCACACTTACGCCACCAGATGGTGAAAATTTTTTCTCTCACAGTTGAGATCAGTCTGGAATACTATAAAAGCTGAGATTCTACCCGGTAAGAAGCGACTAATTGAAAAGAATTCAGAGTTCCAATTCTTTTAAATGGGTGAATTTACATTTTTATTCAATTCTTCGATGAAGCAAAAAAAAGTATAAAAATCTATTCTTCTTAATTGACTTAGTCAAAATTTAGACATTAAATTAAACATATAACCTGACGCAGTCAATTGTAAAACATAGAAATGCCTAATTTATTCTCCACATTTTCTATTCCTCTAAATTTTGCTCCAAATGGCCTGATATATAGTCAATTTATAGAAATAACCACATGTACATCACTTTTCAAATTTCTTATTCCTTTCAATACGCTTTGGAAATTTTTAAGCTGGCGATTAAAAGGAATAGACATTTAAAATTTACTCTCCAAACATTTGTACAGAGAATAAAAAAGAATTCATTTGTTTAATATTTAGATGTTCACTGGGGTATTGGGTAAAAACGTAAATTCGCCTATTTAGAATAATTGAAAATGATCAACTTATGCTTAATATATGAAGAATTTCAATCTTTCTCTATTTCTCGCTTCTTACCGGATAACTCAGAAGTAAAGCAAGTTTTTTTTATTTTCAGATAAATTGCTGTATTATTATTTGATGTTTAATTAAATAATTTTTAATTTTTGTAAACTGCCGCCTGCTTAAAGCAGCCAACTGAAAATTCCCAAATGAAATCCTATATTGTTTCCTATATGTAAATCCATGTATAATCTTAGAATGAAATTTCAGAATCTACATAAAATCTTATATGATTTCCTATGTTTAAATCCATGTGTAATCATATGTAAGATTGCACATGAAATCGTGTTATATTTTCCATGTGGTTTCCCATGTGATTTTCTATACTCAAGTAGCACGATATATCAACCAGATGTCACGGTGATATCACCGGAGAATGTCACCGTGACATCAGGAAAATGTCAAAATGTCCGCCTTACGGTGATATCACACGGTGACATCGAGGTGATATCACAGTCATATCACGGTGATATCACCGTGATATCATGTTGATATTTTACAGGGACTTAAAATTTTTAATAATTTAAAAAATAATAATAAATAAAAAAAATAATAAAAAAAAAAAATAATAATTTTTTAAAAATTTTAAGTCCCTGTAAAATATAAACATGATATCACCATGATATGACTGTGATATCACCTTGATATCACCTCGATGTCACCGTGTGATATCACCGTAAGGCGGACATTTTGACATTTTCCTGATGTCACGGTGACATTCCCCGGTGATATCACCGTGACATCTGGTTGATATATCGTGCTACTTGGGTATGGTTTCTCTATATAATTTTCCATGTGGGGATTTTCAATAGGGCGAAAGAGGATTTGATATAGGATCTGATATGGAAAAATTTTTCAAAAAAACGATAAAGGATTTCGCTTGGGGATATATATGGAAAAATTAAACTAAATAATTGAAAAATGATTTGACATGGAATATTGACATGGGAAAACGTTTTGAATTTTATTCTTACCTCAAATCTTGTCTAAATTTCCCATGGGGATTTACATGGGAAACCATATGATTTTCTTAATGGAAGTGGGGTTTCACATAGTTTTTGACGTAGGATCCCATGTTGTTTTCCATGTGGGGATTTTCATTAGGGATCCCCCCTATATTATTAAAGGAAACCAAAGTAATATATTAAATAACAATATTAACCCGACGAGAGTGTGGTGAGAAAGTGTTACACCGAGAATATGGTTGGGTATGACATACCCAAGCGCAAAAACTGCCTCTAAATGTTTGTATGTGATCGTTTCCGGTTAATTATAGTATTAAATTATAAAAAGGTATCGAATAAATAATATTTATTTATTATCTTAAAATTATAATTTTTTATATTATTAACATCTTTAATATAAGTATAAACCAGCTCTGTGGCTGAACATGACATGCCTGAACGAAGTTTTATATCATAAGTTGCCTTGTTTTAAGCGTAGAATTTATTTTTGACCATAAACTAAGAATAAAACATAATGTAAATAAATAAAGAAAAAACAAATGCAATAATTTGTTGCACGGAAAGAATACACGAGAGCTATGTGGTTGAGTATGACATACCTGAATGATGTTTGCGCACATGTAACTTAAAACGCGAGTTGCGCAGCACTGTGGTCACATTTCTACCCCGTCTTACACATTCACAACTCCAGCTACCGTAAAACGGGGTTATTTCGCTCAGTGCGGGTAAAGTCGCTCACCCATTTTTTTGCTTTAAATTTGATTTAAACTAAAATTTAGTATTTCTATTAACAAATTTAACATTTTTACCTGGTAATAAGGTATTAAACTTTATTTTAAAGCTGAAATAAAGCATAAAAGTAGGTGAGCGAATTTACCCGCAATGAGCAAAATAACCCCGTTTTACGGTACTCGAAGTGATAAAACGCCAAAATTAAAATCTTTGAATTAAAAGCTTTTAAGTAAGTGCCTGGGTATGAGGTACCCAACCACACTCTCGCCGGGTTAAGAATAATAATTAAATCTTTCGAAGAAATTATTTATAATCATCACTTGTATTTTCATTTAAGTTATTATATTTAATATTTCAAAAATAAACTTTCTAAATATAGTTTTGTAAAATTAACGAGGATAAATGAAAGAAACTTTTACATTTTAGCAAATTTTTATTATAAATAAAAAATTATTTCAGCAAAATTCAAAACAGGAAACTCAGTGCTGTAGCTCTTTTTTTGGATTGCGTGGGAGGGAAACTCGTGAAAATGCACGTTTTTTCAGGAATTAAAAAAACTGGTAAAGTTTATTGAATTAAAGTAAATCATACCTTAAAGTATACAATATAAGCTTTATAAAAAAAATTTTATTAAAAAATATTGTTGGTGCGCAAACTAGATATTTTTCGAAGTTGCAATAAAAATAAGAGATAAAATTATAAATGTGTTTATTTTCACTTTCGTTAGTTTATGTTTTTATGGCAAACAGCTGCGAAAAAGATGTTAGTTCTAAATTCAATAGAAAGATTAAAATGTTTCTCATTTATGTCCCTTTACCTTGTAAAAGACTTAAAATCATAAAAGTTACTTTTCCTCAAATCGCTGAAAAACAAACTATAAACTTAGGGTTAGGAAAATCTAGAATTCTATCGTCATATACTAAAATTTTATTACGGTCTAGGCTAAAATAAGTAGAATTAAGTATGTAAGCGTCTTCGAACTCGATCCTAATCTAAACTTAACCTGTCGTAACGGGGGTGTGTCAGTACCTAATATTACCCCCTCCCTTAAAATTGTCAACTCATCGATGTCCAAGAGGGGACCATTTGCCTACCAGGACGGGTTCCCGGGACCAGATCGATTTCTGACCTCCAGACGAAATCAGTTTAAGAAATGTCTAAGATTTAACCAAGTTTTTAGTACAATAAATTGTCTTATTATAAATGTATCAACATCATTGTTACTATTTTTATTTCATCCTATCAACTTTGGTGGTCTCATCAAAATCCATTTTTTTGAGATTACGTTATGACTACATTTGAAGTATAGTCCATCATACCACACAACAAATATTACAAAATGGTGGCGTTACAGGCGTTTGAAGTTGCATCTTTGATTTTGTGCGTGCAGCCTACAGGTCACAAATCTCAACTAAAATTAAAAATCAAAATTTTTACCGTTAAAATACACAAATACGCTTTGCATGACGAAGAAAAAACAAAAAAAAATTTTTTTATTTGGAACTATTTTGAAAAAAACAAATTTTTTTTATAAACAATGTTCAAAAAGAATTGTTAAAAAATTTGTTTAAAAAAAGGAGCTCGTCATGCAATAGCCAGTAAGATAAAGAAGATTTGTGGTTAGTTTTATTAAAATCGGTTAAAAGTTAGCTAAGTTACATTGCACTGCGCGCGAAAAAACACGTTTCGAGAAAAACGCGTATAAAGTTTTCGATACATAAAAGTAGTGTTTAAACTATTGCCTTGAAAACGTTATGTATTCGAAAATAACTATTGCACTAAAACAAAGATTTACTATCACTTGCTTATGGTGCTTGCTAATGACAATTAATAAAATTATATTGCCAAGAAACGGAAAGAATAGAGGGATTTCGTTCTCATAGTTAACTGCATTTGGTACTCTCTAAAACTGAATCAGTGGACTTTCACTGATTCTCAGTGGAATTTCACTTATTGAAATCGTGAAAAGTGAACCATTGGAAATCAGTGAAAGTTTACAGATTCAATCAGTGAAATTAATCAACTGATTGAATAAGTGGTTGTATAAATTGAAATCAGTAGATATATGACAGATTCATTCAGTAGATGTATAACTGATTCTGCCAGTGGAAAATCAGTAGATATATGATTAATTAAATCAGTAAACGTATAATTGATTCGATCAGTGAAATTGTTGTTAATGTCAATTTAATAAAAATCCGTACTTGCTGTAACAGAACTTTTTATTAAAAATTTTAGTTAAACATTAATTAACATTTTCAATTAAAGAATTACTTTTTACAATAATTATCAGAACGAAAATTTTAATTTTACATTTAGTAACATTTGTTTGACTCTAATATTGACGAAACAAAATTTCTAACTTCGAGGTCATTTTTTTTAAATAAACATTTTTTTATCATTTTAAATTAAATTTTCAATTTAAATGTCCTGAACTAATTAAATATTAATTAACATTTATAATTAATTTTTTTCGCAATAAGTATCAAAACTAATTTTTAATTTCAATATTAATTTTACATATAACAACATTTGTTAATGAAATAAACACTTTTTTAACATTTAAAATTGAATTTTCCATTTAAATATCGTAAATTATTTAATAGGTGTTTCGGTTAATAATGTCGATTTTTAACAGGATTTGGGCGTTTATCTACATGACGAAAAATATTACCTTAATAATTAAAATATTGGACATCGTTTTCTATGACTTTCTCCCATCTTTCTGACAAATCATGGATTCCCTTCTAAATGAACTGTTCACTTTTTGAGGCCAACCATTTATCGAGCCAAATTTTCACTTCTTCGTAAGAATGGAAATGTTCTTCTGAAGGTCCGTGCTGCATCTATCGAAATAAGTGGTAGTCCGAAGGGGCCAAGTCCGGTGAATACGGCGGGTGGGGTAGTACGTCCCATTTAATATTTTCGAAATAGTTTTTCACACTTTTCGCAACATGGGGCCGAGCATTGTCATGTTGAAAAACGACTTTGTCGTGTCTTGAAGCATATTCTGGTCGTTTTTCCTTCAATGCTTTGTTTAATTTTATCAATTGTTGCCGGTACCGATCGCCAGTAATCGTTTCACCAGGTTTTAGCAGTTCATAATACACGGCATCCTTGTTATCCCACCAAATACACAGCAACGTCTTTTTTCTATGTATAGACTGGTGACATCGAAGTTACCAGTTTTAAATCGTTGAAACCATCGTTCACAAGTTTTCTGGGTTATAATATGTTCACCATAACCGTCAACTAACAATCGATAACTTTCAGCAGCCGTTTTCTTCAAATGAAAGAAGGTTATTAAACTTCCCGCAAAACGGTTTTTTCCGGCATGTAACTTGACATTTTCAAAGCTATACAAAACTATGTTTTGTGCACAATGACAATTAAGAACAAACTGGTTTTTAATGACATATGTCCAACATTCAAAACGCTATGCTATAGACATCGAAAGCCTGTATCAACGAACACATGAGTAACTCAATTTTTTTAGGAAAATCGACATTATTAACCGAAATACCTATTAAATTAACGATTAAATTTACGAGAAAAAAAAGAATTTTCTATTTAGTTATAAAAAAAACGACAACGATTTCGCATCAGTAGAATTAAGATTAATTAGGGTGGCGAGTGGACCGAAAAACCGGGTAATGACCGGGATTTTCAAAATTGCCCAGGAAAACCGGGAAAATTACCATAAATCCGGCAATTTTTTTGGCACTCCAAAAAAAAAAATTTATATATAATTTTGACCGGGAAATTCTAAAAAAATGACCGGGAAAAACTGGGAATTTTGAATTGATTGGAATAGAAATAAAAAAAAATTAAAGACAATTGAATTTTGAATTGATTAAAATTGAAAATCATTTAATTTTAAATAGATTAGAATTGAAAGTCATTGAATTTTGAATTGACCGGGAAAAACCGGAAATTTAAAATCATAAAAAAACTCGCCACCCTTTTAATTAATCTAATAATCTTAATTAAATCACATCTTGATTAATTGTCGCTATCGAGATTTTCTGTACCACTTTCACCATTTGCGATGTTCTGAGCCCTTGAAGAGTTAATATTTATGTTAACATTTTTCAAGGATGTGTGTAATGATTGCACAGAACTCAAGACATCCGTATTCGTTTTGTAAAAATAGGTCTCTATAAAATTATAGAAAAACCTCAATGATTTCGCGAATTCAACGTTAGCTGCAAACTGTAATTTGAACAGAATATCAAATTTTGCCAGCGAACTTTCATTTTTATGGATCTCGATCATTCTGCCGTCGCCAATAATAAAATATTTCTTCACTCTCGAGCCGAAAACAGCAAGTAAGTAGGGTTGCAATGTGCCTACAGATTCAGTGCGTGCCCTAGAAACAGTTGCTATTATGTCTGTCCCATCCTAAAATATATAAGAATTTCATTGGTTTCATTTGTATCTAATTTCGGTCCGTCCAATTTAATGAAATATAAAAAAAATAACATAGGCACACAAAAAAAATTTTTTTGCCGAGACACTACATTAGTATATTCCCATACATTTTTTCCGGCTGAATCCGAATCCAAAGACAGAATTTCCAGATTGGCTCTTTTTTTGAGATATACTAAAAAGAAGCTCAAAAACACAAATTAAAATAAAAAATGAAAAAAAAATTATGTCACTACCCTGGTCTATTTCCATGTATTTTTTCGTTTGATTCCAAATCGAAAGTCAGAATAGTCAAATTAGCTGAGAATTTTGAGATAAACTCAAAAAACTACTAATAAACACAAAATAATGGAAAAAATGTTTTTTTCTCATGACACTATACTAGTGTATTCGTATGTAATTTTTCCTCCAAAATCTGAATCCGAAGTCAGAATTGATAAATTAGCTCAAAATTTTAAAATAAACTCAAAAACTACTAAAAAACGGTTTTTTGAGTTTATTTTAAAAAATTAAGCTAATCTGGTAATTCTGACTCCGAAATTGGATTCAGTGGAAAGAAATATATTGGAATACTAGTGTAGTGTCTCGGTCAAAAATTTTCCTTCTTTTGACTTTAAGGATTGTCACTGCCGGTGTGAGGGGCAAGGGGAATGTTCCCATTGCTCCCATGTAAAATTTTGCATGTTTACAACCTCAAAAAAAATCTCGGCCTCATAATTTTAATAAAAAACCTATATATTAATTTTATTAAAAAAAGATGTAAAAAATAATGATAAAAATTTTTCAATAGTTACATATGTATATATAATGAATAAATGAATAAATGAATAAATGAATAAATGAATAAATGAATAAATGAATAAATGAATAAATGAATAAATGAATAAATGAATAAATGAATAAATGAATAAATGAATAAATGAATAAATGAATAAATGAATAAATGAATAAATGAATGAATTAATTAATCAATCAATTATTCACTTAATTAATGAGTGAATCACGGAATGAATGAAAAGATGGATGGATGAATAAATGAATGAATGAATTATTCATTTAATTAATTTGTGAATCACGGAATGAATAGATGGATGGATGGATAGATGGATAATCGGTTTCTCTGTTTATTTTTTAACTGATTATCTTCCTGCCTGCGAATCTATCTATCCATTTGGCTATATGCTTTGGTTTCTATTTTGTCTGATAAACTACTTATCTATCACTCTATTGCCTATTTGTCTAATTGCCTATCTGATCTCTCTAGCTGCAGATCTGATTTATCTGTCTACTTAACTATCTTTTAATTCATTCTTCCGGCTATCCTCATATATAATAAATCTTATATATAACTGAGAAATGACTAGCCCTCTCAAGTTGCAACCAGTTATTTGGTACATTCCCCAACCTGAGCCCTTTTCGATCTTAAAGCAGTTAGTGAACCCCACTTTGCCCCCAAGTGGAAATCCATTCTTCCAGTTTTCTCTAGAAGGCAGATTTTCAAATAAGGTTTTTAAACCTTTGGATCATTCTGCTCTATACCGTTCATAATGCTAGAATAGACAAAATGGAATCCATCCATCCATCCATTCATCAATCCATCTATTTATTCCGTGATTCACTCATTAATTAAATGAATAATTCATTCATTCATTCATTCATTTATTCATTCATTCATCCAACCATCCATCCACCCATTCATCCATCCATCCAACGATAATAACAAAAAGAACTTGTATCTATTTTTTTCGTTCTTGTTGTATGTTTTTATATGAACCATACCGCACGAGTTTTCAACCTTTTATGGCTGATAACATTAAAAGTTATCATTTTTTTGAATTTTGATAGAGGAAACATTTATTCAGAATGACTAAAACTACAACATATCCAAAAACCAGCCATTTTGACCGAGAACCAAAATCAATGCATTTTGTGCGGGGTCCTTTGCGGCAGGAAGCAGCACTGGCAGCAGAACCAAAGCTCTGAGATTTTCAAGACATGTATAAAATTTTTATAAAAAACATATATTTAATATTATTCTTTTTTAAATATTACCTATAATAACATAAACTTACCATCTTTAATGAGCGAGGTAGCTTTGCTAAAAATTTCAGGTTTTCTTTCGCTCGCATACTTTAAAATGCGAGGAACATACCAAGATTGAAATTTTCTTAAAAAATTTTTGGCATTGGAATTTACTTCAGCATTTGAAATCATCTCATATTCTTTGTCAATCTAAAAGGAAACAGTAACTCTTTATTTGAATACAATTTAAGTAATTTTTTAAAATTAGAATAAAAGGTTTTACTTTTTTTTTAATTTACGAAAAGACTCGCTGGCATTCCCACATAACACGTAATATTGCAGCAATATTGCTGCAATATTTCTTTTCAATATTCAAAATATTCAAATTTAACATTGCCTGAATATTTCAGAAATATTAAAATGTCCGACTCAGGGAATATTATATTTTAATATTGCAGGAATGTTGCGATGAAACTTTCCATATGTGCCTGAATTTTTTCTTTGAATATTTCTTAGAAATATTGCAGAAATATTTATGTAAATGTCACTGTAATATTTTAACGTAATCCTTCCGCAATATTTAAGAGAAACATTCAAAAAAAATTTTAATAAAATATATCAAAATTTATCAGATAATTCGAAAACGATATATTCCCACAATATTGCCAAAAAATTTTTATTAAAAAATACAAATTTTTTAAAATCAATTCAAGATTGTAATTTAATTATAATTATAATTTAAAACCAATTTAAATATGAAAATTAAATAATATGAAGAATTATATGCATTGTGTTTATTCTATTATAATGTGCAGTCATTTTAGTAACAATTGATATAATATGAAAACGAACAAATTAATAGGAATTATTATGCAAAATTAGTTCATTAATTCAAGATCAAAACACTTAAGCGTCCAAATTTAAATTTAATGCATTTCTTCTTCATCGTCTGCATCTGGAGCATTGACTTCTTCTTGATTCACATCGTCATCTCCACTAGCTGAATTTTTGTCATCATTAGCTTTTACCTTCTTTGCGCTGAAAATAAAAGTTTAACATTATCAATTGATTTTTATTTAAATTTGACGAATTTAAAACTCTTGAAATTATTTTTTATGTGAAAATATTTTCAATAATCTCCTGGGTAACACTCGGGAAATGATTATCGGCAATGAATTCTCAATAAGAATTCTCAACTTTAGATAGTAATAATAAAGAAAATACTCTCATAAGTTAAAATAACTTCCTACTTTTTTAAATCCAACCGATGTTTTGCTCCAGCAAGCCATTTTGAGCTTTCCTCTTTTATTTCCTCCTCCGTCTCATTTCGGTTTCTCACTCTCACGCTACCTGCAATTAAAAATAATTTTATATGTACAAAAATAATCATAATTTAGTTTTAATAATTCTTTAAAGTATTTCATAAATATCTTGTATTTTTTATTATACTGTATGACCAAAATGATTTTGTAATATTTCAAAGGTATTAAAAAAACATCTACTAGTAAGTTCTTTGACCTGTGTAATCTTTTTTTTTTTACATATTGTACTCACGGATAATAAGATCGGCAAAATTAGTGTCATTCAAAGGAAGTTTTGGCTTTTTGCGTCCAGACCAGCTATACAAAACAGCGATCTCATTGGAAAATAGTTTCCTGCAAACATTTGCAACACGGTTTTTAAGATCCCTTCCACCAATTTCAGCAAGAGCTTGTACCTAAAATTGTATATAAAATAAGTATGTTTTAAGGATATAACAAACTTCACAATTTACTGACAGATAAAACTAATATAGAAAAAAATTCTCTGCTTTTCACACATTTTTCATATTAAAAAATGTTTTTCCAAATCGTACAAAAATAGACGTTAACTATATTCTATAAAAAACTCATAAAATTATTTTATGATGAAGAAAAGAAATTATTTATGCTAATTGTAATAAATTAAAATTATTTTCAGCTTAATGGATTTACATTTTAAACATAAAAGTCAAAATTAAATCAAGATTCTGATCTTTAAATCATAAATAATTTTAATTATTCAATAAAAGTAACCTGCAATTAGGATTTCGGACATTAAAAAACTGTTCAGTTATAAACCATGGCATTAGCAGCTTATTATATTCTATACCGAACGCGAGTTTAGTTTCCATAACAAATAAAACTTAATAATCATGTAATAAAAGCTAATTGGTAATTAACCATTTTTTGTTTGAAAGTGTTGTCCTTTAATTTTTCATTTAGATTTTCGAAATTTTTCGTTGTGTTTAAAGGCAAATTTTTGCAAGATTCTGAATCCAAAATCGAAGCTCCTTTAATGCCTCTACTTCTTGATGAATCAATATTTAAGTTTCTTGTCAGTAATATAAGTTCATTTAATTTATTCAAAGTCAATTTTTCAAAAGTGAGACCTGTATTAAAAAAATTTTTTAATAAATATTAAATAGTTATCAATAAGATAATTCTTTATTTAATATTTAATTATAGAAAATTTTAATCTAAACAATAATTAAAATAAAGTAAATAAATTTATGGCACTAAGTTACCACTATTTTTGTCCTGATAAGCCATACTGGACAAACTATTTTTTGACTTTGTCGTTTCCCTCGAATGACCATTGTCACTACTATTTTTTGAAGATGATTTTTTGAGCTTGGCTGAGGGAATAGAAGATGAACGGCTTTGTAACGCAAGTGGTGGTGAGTGACGTTGTAATTCAAGTAGCCATCGAGATGGTGATTGACGTGATGATTGACGAGGTGATCTAGGTGGTGATCTAGGTGGTGATCTAGGTGGTGATCTAGGTAGTGATCGAGGTGATAATTGACGAGTTGATAGACGTGATGATCGACGTGGTGATCGACGAGATGATGGACCAGGTGACTGATCAGGTGATTGACGTAATGCTTGAAGTGGTGGTCCAAATGATAATCCAAGTATTGATTCAAACGA